TAGGGCTACATTTTAGAATTTGTCTTTTTCTTTATTTTATGGTTTATTTTAGGGCTACATTTTAGAGTTTGTCTTTTTCTTTATTTTATGGTTGCTTTTAGAGTTAGATTTTAGAGTTTGTCTTTTTCTTTTTCTTTTTTTAGTTTAAAGATTCTGAGATCAAATCGATAATTTATGAGACGACAATAGGATATCTTTACTTCAAAGTTATTTAATCATTCTCCTACTTAAATTGTTATTTGTCGTTATTAATTTACTAATTAATTTAACGTAGACGCAAACGTTACGATATTAGAGTCAACAATTAATTATACACCCATAAATTATTTGGAAACTCTAGAGTAAATATGTCATTTCGTAATTACCTAAAACTCCACTACAAGACAACAAACTGATGCCATGTCATTTAAAATGTAGATTAAATTAGGGGATTTGTAATGGTAGCATATAAGTTTTCTATATTTAACACTTTTTTATATTTTTAGATTTAGCATTTTTTTGAAAATCCTCATTTTAAAATTTTCAGTATTCTCAAATTACCATTTTCAGTTAGCGCGTAAACTTTCCCAATTTCTTTTCGTTATTATATATCAAATATATGTCATATATATATCAGGAGTATATCTGATAACATTAGTATATCAGAAGTAAATCAATAGTATATTAGAAGTCAATCAGTTCTATATCAGTTGTATAATAGTAAATCACTATTTTACCTGCTTTAACCCTTTATCTTGTATTTTTTTTTTATCAATTAGAAATCAATAGGTATTGGCATGCATGGAAAATGAGGAAAAAATTTTTGATACTTACTGAAATGAGAAAGAAAACTTGAAAGGAATATGAATGTGAACGTCAATGGTGATTTTCGAAATTACTGTGAATGAGAAATCGAAGGGAAGAAGATAAATGAGCAATCAATTAGAAATCAGAGGTAAATAGAAACTTAGGGTTTTTCTGTATATCAATAATATATGAGTGATATATCAAGTATACATCCTACATATATCAGTAGTACAATTAAATTTTATTTAAAGTTTTAAATATCAAAACGAAATCAGCAACAATGTCATTCTTAAAAGATTTAAACATCATTCATGGGTATCAACATCAACATCAAATCAGCAGGAAAGTCCTTCAACCAAAAACTTAGAAGTTTAAACATTAAAACGAACCAGTGACATAAACCAAAAGTAGACTAACAATGTCATTCTTAAAATTCTATAAAAGAAAAAGCATAAGTTCCAGAAGCATAAGTTCCAACAGTCTAGAAAAGCGTAAGTTTCATTCTTGTAAAATCTTTAGGTAAAAGCTTGGAAGGACATCAACCTTCGTTCTTGGTGATTGTCATGTCTTCAGAGATAATATCTTTGAAGCTTCCGCTTTTCCATAAACAACACCTTTGACGATGGTTTATGTTGTCTTTTGGGACGAACGACATCAACATTTTCGACAATGTTTTTTATTTCATTTTTCGTGTTTGTACCATTGCTTTTATCTAAAAAAAAATTATTTCATATATTAGTAGTATATCAGAAAACATATTAGAGGTAATATATGTTCGAAATAATTGGTAGATATCATAGTTATATCCGAAGTAAATCAATTTCATATCATATGTATATCAAACATATATCACATATATATCAGGAGTATATCTGTCAATTATAGTTATATCATAAGTAAATGAATAGTATATCAGAAGTCAATCAGTTCTATATCACCTATAGTAATATATATCATAGTTATATCAGAAGTAAATCAATTTCATATCAGATGTATATGAAACATATATCACATATATATCAGTAGTATATCTGTCCATCATAGTTATATCATAAGTAAATCAATAGTATATCAGAAGTCAATCAATTCTATGTCACTTATAGTAGTAGATATCATAGTTATATAATAAGTAAATCAATTTCTTACCATATGTATATCAAACATATTTCACGCATATATATCAGGAGTATATCTGTCAATCATTAGTATATTAAAAGTCAATCAGAAGTAATTTATTGTTGGTTCGGGCTTGCAGGGTATACTTGTAATTTAGAACGTGGGCCTCCGTTTTTTTGCAAAAAAAATGCTATATTTTGGAAAACCAAAACCTTGTTGCTATTTTGCTTATTTTCTTAACTTTTTTTTGACATATCTCAAGTTGCCCCATTAAATTATAACTTTAGTCGACGAATTTTTAAGTTTGTATGTAATAAGTCTTTAAACTTTTGAAAGTGTATGATAATACTTTGCAGTTTCAATTTTTTCTAATAACTTATTAAACTTTTAACAACATTAATAAATATTTAAACTTTCAAGGTTGTATCTAATAGGTTCTTCCTTAACTCTCAAAATTGTGTCATGTCTAATAACAGTCATTGATCGTGAACCTTAAAATCTTATCTGTTATAGGAAGAAAATAGAGATCAGACTAAGCAACCGAAAAGAGGAAAGAGAGCCGAAGAAGGAGTGGACCCGAAGAGAGGTAAGTGGGTCAGGGCCCAGCGACCCAAGCTGGCTGTACCAGACCTCGGTGCCGAGCACTGCTCGGCACCAATGGGTTCTCAGCCCATTGGCCAAGAACCTCTCCAATGAACCCCGACCCTCATACAAGCCCAGTCCGAGTTGACTTGGTCTCGCCCTGAATAATACAGCATGAGGCCCACTCCGTTTTATATCTCCAGAGTGCATAAGGATTGGACTAATGTGAACCCTAAAGGGATTAGGTTTCGACTCATGTAAATCCTGAAGGGATTAGAATTCGACCTCTATGAATACGAGGGGAAGCCAAACCCTAGAGATATGCCTAAAAGTCCTACTCTCTATACCCGACTACTCCGATACTAATTTAAGCATCGGAGCCTGTGTGGCAAAAGTCATACCGGTCTTAGTGTTATTCTGTTTTGCAAGTCTCATCGATCCCTTTGTTCTAGAAGATTGGTGCGAATTTGGCGGATCCAGGAAGCTGAATAATTGCATCAACATTATCTAATATTCACTGACCTATTCGACATTTTTTTAACATTGACGAACCCTATTGGACAAAAAATAAAAAAAAATATAGAATTGCATTAGACACGAAATTCAATTTTATAAGTAGTAAATTCGCGAATTTAAAATAATATCAAATAGGTTAGGGATCTATTAGATACAAAAGTGAAAGTTTTGGGACTCTGGAACTTTGTAAGTTAAGGGATCTATTAGACATCAAATGGAAAATTTAAGGACCTATTAAATATAAATACAAACATGAAAGTTAGATTAAATTTACCATTGAACTTGAAATATATTTTTTTCTATAAATAAACTTTTTTCATATTAACTAAATATCCACTCATTGTTCCCCATTATAAAAAAAATCTAGTTAACTTGTTCTAATTATACAAAAAAAAAAAAAAAGAAAGAAAGAACAATTATTTTAACAAACTAATAGATTTATATTTCATCTAATAAAAACTTATAGGATAAAAGAATAAATTTTAAATTAATATTCCTGTAGGAGATCAAAATATAAGTTAACCTAATAATTCAAAATGTTCATTTAATTTGTGTTCACTTTGTTTGGGCATAGAATGAGACGACGTCAAACCAGGACAAGGTTGGACACGTAAGCTTGCTGACTCGGAACGATATGAAATGACCTGCACAAGAGGGCAAGCTCTATGATGCTCAAGTCAATAAGACAGTTCGGACTCAATAGTAAGTTCGAGGAGGAATTTCATACCTACTGTGGAAGTGGTGCCCTCTATTATATTGGTTTGGGATCCGACAGACCTCTCCACCAGCGGTTATTGGTGTTGGATAATAGATCGGACATGTTGGACTCGACATACCAGTCATGAAGCATATCGAACGCTTAATATGGGTACAATGGGGAGTAAATGGCCAAGTAATCCACCTCGAAAGGTTCAAGGTGGACCTGTTCTCGAATGTTGCCTACGTGGGCTCTTCCCTGTCCTCCACGTGCTATATCGATTTTCCTCCCCAAACATTGGCCCCCTCTCTGGTAAGTTCAA